AAATGTGCAGTTACAAAATGAAAACTTAATATCATAATGTGTAGGCCCCCAGTGGCACAGCAGTATGTCTGCGGACTTACAACGCTAGGATTCGGGTTTCGCTACCAGTGGCTCAGCGGAGAGTCTGAAGGCTTACAATGCTAAAAACCGGGTTTCGCTACCCGTGGTGGGCAGAGCACAGATAGCCCATTGTGTAGCTTTGTGTTTAAATACAAACAAACAAACTGTAAACTAGCATTCAAATGACGTTGAAGAAAGTTCTTTTTAATCACACAACAACGCGAGTAAGAATCTGCTGTGCAACAACAGATGAACACAAATGAAATTATTAGAGGGCCTGATTCAGGCCCATAATGTCCAGAACTGCACATTTACTGTCTGCAACCAATTATGCCCAGTAATAAAATCAAATAAAAAATAAACAACCAAACCACAAGTAAACATAAATAATTCAGTATGCTAGCAGCAACGAAAATAATTTATCAATGCTTTCAATGTTGTGGATGGCCTAGTAGTTTGCGACCCGAACCGTAAATCGATGGTTAACGGTTCGCGTCCCATTGAGGCAAAAACGCAGTTTCTGACTTCGGGTGCGCTATGACAGTGATAGTCAAATACCACTATTCGTTCAGACAAAATTAACCTGACATTGTGAAGAGGGCGTTGTTTGCTACATTCCTTCTCTTTAGTCTATTAGTTAAAAAGTAGAGGCGGCTATTTGCAGATAGCCCTTGAGCAGTTTACGCAAAAGTTTTAAAATGAGGAAAAAGTTATGTCTCCATGTTATGAATTGTAGGTAGTTAATACTTCTACACGACTTCAAAGGCCCGGCATAGCCAGGTGATTAGGGCGCTCGACTCGCAATCGCGGGTTCGAATCCTCGTCACACCAAACATGCTCGCCCTTTCAGCCGTGGGGGGGGGGGGTTATAAAATGATGGTCAATCCCACTATTCGCTGGTCAAAGAGTAGCCCAAGAGTTGGCGGTGGGTGGGGATGACTAGCTGCCTTCCCTCTAGTCTTTCACTACTAAATTAGGGACGGCTAGCGCAGATAGCCCTCGTGTAACTTTTGCGCGAAATTCAAAACAAACAAACATATATGACTGCAAAATGTTCATGCTGAATTATGGACTTTTCGTCATTCCTAAAACTCGCTGTCAAACAATAAATTCATGATTTATAATTTTGACTGTCTAATTTGTGTTTTTTATATACATGTAGTATTTTACATGTTAACGAATGTAATACAATTTGAAGGTCA